GCATACGTCGGAGCCAGCATAGAAAGGGCTGGAATGGGATACCCCAGCAGATGGGAATTCTCTGACCTTGGTGGAAGATCATCTAAGGGTACTTTGATTTACTTCATAGAAAGTAAAGAAACACGCCCATGGTCGCCATTCGTTGCTGCGAAAGGAATTGGTTTAAAGAACCAAGCAAGGATTAACCGCAGCATCGAAGCTTTCGTTTACTGCGTCCTAGGTGCGCAAGTTAGCACCCGCAGTCCTATYGTGAGCGCCTCTGGRGCGTCRAAAGAAACCCAACAAGTATTCCTYGTTCTCTTTGACGGCGCTATTGTTGAGAATGAAATCTCGAAGTCAGTGCAGAGATATCAATTAGCGGTGCAGCAGTCTAAAGTGAGGTTGGATTACGCATTGTCGCCCGGCTGTTGGTTAATGCCAAGTAATTTGGTCATCAACGCCGATTCCGTCGTGGGTTACAACAACAAACTTCAAAGAGCTACTAAGGATATGAAGTTTGGGGTGAATGACGTGAACTCTGACACTCTTAAGAACATTCCCCATTTCGTTGAGAAACCAAAAAAGACACACGAAACTAAGCCCACGCCAAAGAATACACATGAAAAGCCGAGAAAAGTTGCCTTAACGCCAAAGACTCTAGTAAAGCCTGCGAGGCTACCTACGATAGAAGAGGAGCCTGACCACGACCTACTAAAAGCCGGCTTAGCAGTCGCAAGTGTTGGTCTGAGCTATTATATATGGCGATGAACAACCCTTACGTAGCTGGAGTAGATTGTGTTTATACGACTTACACAGGCGAGAAAAGGTACACCCAGAGCTCTTGGGTTGATGTCACGGGCATGTCCGTGAATTTGAACTATTCAGGGAAGAAATTGATCYTTTGTAGTATTTGCATTGGATCTGCCAGCCACGCCAATGTAGGTTTCAGATTTATGGATGACAACGGCATACTGCAGCCTATGCGCGCGAAGACAAACAACAGGGAGCCTGCGCATTTCTCCGTAGAACCGCCAGTGAATAGCTCTGAGAATTTATCAGTTTGGACTTTTCACATGGTTACCGATTGCCATGGAAAAGTAAAGCTACAGATAAGAGTAGATGACACTGGAAGCGTTTGCATAAATAGCATAGAGGATCGAAGGAACCAGTCCTATAATCACGCCACCATTAGCACTCTTACTGTGGTAAGCCTTTAAATATATGAATCCACATGTAAAGGAAAATTGGTTTCTTCATTATTTAGAGGAAAAGGCCTACAGGAAAGACGAATGGCATGACACCGGATTCTGGGTGGAGGTTGGAGGATTAGGATTGATCATGTGCACCATTTGCGCTTCAGCGGGGTGGTTATACAATATTGGATTTAGGATCGTAGATGAGAATGGTTATCCATTACTACCATACAGGAAAAAACACATAAGAAGAAGGCACCCAACGCATTTTTCATTCAGGCCCTTAGGAAAAAGTCGACAAAACTTTACACCTATAACTTTTAGCATGATAGCTAATTGTAAATATGCGAAGTTACAAATTCGCCCCGGCGGAGGTAGATGGGGCATCGTGCAAATAAATGCCATTCCCCCAACAGGTTCAGCAGATGACATTCGGAATCATAAGGTTATTAGCACCATGAGCGTCTTACCTTTAATGCCAAATTATCAAGGTGGTGCTAATACCATATTCACTTACCCCAAGTCGAGGACACCTAGATCGAATGACGATGATAAACCTGACGACTATTAAATATATGAATTACGTTTACCACCTAGATCAAAAGGAATATGGTGAAAAGGATGAGTGGATAGACATAGGAATGTGGGTTAAAGTTGGAGGTTTGGGGTTGATAATATGCACTATTAGCATTAACACGGGTAATGGTGCAAATGTGGGATTTAGMTTAATTGATGAGAATAATCGCTCATTACTACCTTACAGAAAAAAAGTTAATAAGAGGAGTCCGACCCATTTTTCATCGGAACCACCTACTTTAAGTTCTGAAGACTTAACGCCAGTTACTTTTCATATGATAGTTAACTGTAAATATGCCAAGCTGCAAATTTTATCCCACGATGGTAACGTAAGGATGAATTATATTGGCGGACGCGGTACTCCAAACAGACCCTGGAGTCATAAGCCTATTAGCGTTATGAGCGTTCTACCCCTGCTACCACCTTGGTAGGAGATTAACCCTTTATCTTCTTCAGGAGTACCACTCCAATAGCTACGACTAATATCCAAATGTTATTCCCCACGAACTTCAACAGTTCTCCACCGGTCCTAAGTACCAAGGAAACAACCGAACCCAGCAGCCCAGGAAGACCGGCTGCCATCTTTTTTCCCAAGTCCGTTAGTCCCTTACCTAACCCCTTTACACCCGCACTCGTAGTCTTAAGCGTACTAAGTATGACTCCTACTACGCTCGAAATAGCAACCGCAAATGCCAGTGGAACGCCATATTTCAAAAGGGCTCTTTTTATCTTTTCCTTGGTGGTAAGCCCCAGCTCTTTTTCCAGGTTTTCCTTTTGCGTTTGTAATTCCGCAACCCTTTCCTGAAGGGTTTCTACTTCCTTTTGGGCTGCCTCCCTTTCTTCTTCGGTACGAGTTAGGTCCGCAATTATTTCCTGCTTTTCGGATATGCTTCTTTCCAAGTCTTCGACGGCCTGTCGAAGTTGTCGGATTTGCTCTTCTTTGGTATTGATTTCGGCAACCAACTGCCGCCGTTCCTCTAAAGAGCCCTCTATAGTGCTTTGTAAGTTCCTAACTTCCTCCTGACTCATGTTTAGGTCCTGCAGGGCAAGGCGAAAAGCCTGTCGAGCTCTATCCCTTTCATCTAAAGCCTTTTCAGTTTCTCGCGTAATTATTCGTATATTTTCATCTTTACTTCGTCTTAGCTGCTGTAATTGTTTTTTATAGCTTGTTTCCTTTTCCTTTAGCGCTTTTTCTAACGCCGCTGTTGGAGCATGTGATTTCTTAGCCTCCTCCAACTCCCTTTCTGCTTTATCCCGATCACGTAAAGCCTGATCTAAGTGCTTTGCCATTTCTTCCATTCTTACGTCTTGTTGACTAAACTTCTTCTCAGCATTAGCAAGTAGTTGGCTTTGCTTTTCGTACGCCGCCTCTTTTTCTTCCAGCGCCTTTTGCAGTTCCTCGGCGCGTTTTTCTGTCGTGACCCTTTCGGTTAGGGCTTCCAACCTATCTAACATGCTTCGGGTGGCCGCTTGGAAGCCCCTTAACCTTTCCACGTTATTCTTAACTGCACCATTTTCGTCGAAGAGGGCCTGTGGTTTTGTCCAGCGGTCTTTGTCGGGAGACCTCATGTCTTTAACGCTTATGAGGACTTTGTTTCCTTCTTCCGTGAGCCTTATCTCGTTGTCGTCAAGGTGGGGATAAAGCTCATTTAGTTCTCGCATTGCCCACTCTACGGTTTCCCCCGCCGGCTCGCCCATGTTTTGAAGCTCTATGTGCTCACGCGGAAACGTGTACTCGCGTGCTTTGGGATGTCTTAAGGCCTTTGTAATCCTATCCCTTAGGGAATCGTCGATGGGAAGCAGCGGTTCTTCATCACCGTCGTTAATGTCAGCCTGACCTTCCTCAGTGGTGGGATCGAAGTCGGGGTCTGTTCCTTCTACTTCCATTATATATGATAAGCTCAAAGTTAAATCCCAACGTATTGCCTAAGCAGGTTGGCGGGCTGAAAGCAGAACGCACCTTTCACCGGGTCACATTCACACCTTCTAGCGCAAAGCCTGGAGAAACGCTGTATGTGGGCGTTCCCCGCCTAACGGATAACCTAGTATTGGTTCCTGGCACCCTGGCGTTAAGGTTTGACCTAGCGGTACAACCAAGCACCGCAGACAAGCGCTATACCGTCAATAATGTGGGTAGGAACCTCGTCTCTAAGATGAAAATTAAGTTTGCCGGGGAATCCTTGCTGGAYTTGAATARGTACGAYCTGTATWCCACGTAYAARGAYYTATGGCTAACAGCCTTYGACCGTGCACAAAAGATAGARCARGGAATCGGAAGCGTTATCCTWCGTMAGCTTCGCAGYGAYACYAACCCGGCGCCTACTGACTCCGGCGATGCGACYGCAGTAGCAGACGCAACAAGGGTAAAGACYGCATATGGTACCAAATACGTCATCCCTTTGGATTTCGAAGTGATTACGAACCATGGTGTGTATTACCCCAGGCAATTGGCAGAGTTGCAGTTTGAAGTAACCCTGGCGGAAACTACGAACATCCTAGGAGGCATGGACAGCGCAATTAGCGGGACTGTTGATCCTTATTCTATCACTAATCTAGAATTACAGTACGAAACCGTGTACAGCGAAGATTTAGCACGTAGCGCCGGCATGGAATACAGCTCCGGAAAGGCATTCTTGTACGACCACGTGGTGATGTATAGAACCTTTAGTTTCCTGGATAAGACGGATGAGGTTATCAACCAAAGCATTAACCTCCCGCGAAGAAGTCTCACGGGGTTGATGTTGGTGTTTGCCGGATCCTGTGAGGCCGGCAAGCGCGACTCCGAGGCCTTTCATAACCCCAACATCACCAACGTCAACGTGAATATCAACGGCGTTCCAAACAAAGTATATTCGCAGGGGATAAAGCCCGCAGATATTTACCGGGAGGCAAAGCGTAAGTTTGGCGACCAAATTAGCCCTGAGGAATTCTTTAAGGACAAGTACGCGCTGTTTATCGATATGCGCACCATTGACGACGAAGACCTACATGGCCAGGGTTTACGTCTAGTAAACACCCAGGATGGCATAACGTTGGAGATCAAGCGCACAAAGAACTCCTCCGCGGGCGACGACGACAAGATAAAATGCTACATCTTCGTCGTCTCAGATGCGCAACTGAGCGTAGAAATGAATCAGCTAAAGAGCGTCGCATATTAAGATATTCGTCTAATATATCATGTTGCGCGTCTTCGAAAACGACGAAACCAAACTGCAATGCATAGTGCAAGGCGACAAACTGTACTTCAAAGCGAAGGAGGTGGCGGCTGCGTTGGATTACGAAAATACCAGGAAGGCCATTAGGGACCACGTTTCTGAAAAGTACCAGAAAAGGTGGGAAGACATAGGGGGAACGATTCGTTCCCCCCTTGCTACGCAACCAAATGCCGTGTTCATATCCGAACCTGGTCTGTACGAGCTGATATTTAGCTCCAAACTACCCAAAGCCGTAGAGTTTCGCGATTGGGTGTTTGAAGAAGTCCTGCCTGCGTTGAGGAAGACAGGACGCTTCGACAGCCCGAATAAATTAGTCTTTAAGATAGAAAATGAAGCTGACCTGCATACGAAGGTAGTCGATTACATGCGTAGGTTTTACCCTGAATTCATCATAGCACCGGGTCTTGGCGAGCTGCAGGATTCTGACAGCAAACGAATAACCTGCTGGCGAAAAGGTTATCAAGCCGGCCAGCCAGACCTTTTGATCCTTAACGCGCATAAGAAATACCGCGGGTTGTGCATTGAGTTAAAGACACCGAAGGGAAACGGCGTATTGTCTGCGAAGCAATCCAAAAAAATTGCGCAGCTTGGCGTAAATGGTTACATGACTATGGTTAGCAACGATTATGACGTCATCTGTCGTGCCCTGATGGATTACGCGGATGGCATTCGCATTCCCTGTCGACAGTGCTGCAAACGCTTCAAATCTTACGACACTTTGAAAACGCATTTGAAGATATTCCATAGGTATAATGAAGCTCAACTTAATTCATTGGCGTGATCTCGTCCACGGTAAATCTTACGAAATAAAAAATTACGTCGTCTTTGAAGACATCGACCGTTTACGGTTAGTCCTCAAAGATAACGACGGCAAGGAATTTTCCCTTTGGGCGCCAGATTGCGTAAGATACGTGATCCAAGGCGAGGAATTCACTCATTTACGCAGTCATGGTAAGGTAAATGGCCGATGGAAGTTCGACATTGAACGCAACGTCGCCCCTTCACCCCTTTGCTCGTAGGTAGGGTATCGGTTACAGTCTTATACGAATCTTCTGTCATTCGTAGACTTTTTTTAACGAACCCATATATCGAAAGGGTAATCAAAATGCCTCCTAGGAATGCGGCTGCGTAGGCTAGCATCATTTCAAAAAGCCCTTGACGGAATCTTTGACCCAGTATATCAAAGTCATGACAGCGCTGAACCTTTCCGCGCTCTTGAAAGACTGTATTTCGTCATAAAGCTCTTGGTAGCGTGCCCTTAGCAGGTCTAGTTCTTCTCTTTGCATGTTTATGGTTTCTTGCCTGTCTCTTATCGACGCGAACACTGCTTTGACTGCGTCCAACCCCTCCATATATATCAGCGATATAATGGATCCGAATCATATTCCCTGCAATGCTCTAATAGTAGGACCCACCGGCTGCGGAAAGACCCAGTTCGTCGTGGAGCAGCTATTAGGATCCTTTAGATACCGCTTCGACTACATCGTACTGCTTTGCCCCACCTACGTGAATAACCGCACCTGGGAAGGCATAGGAGTGAAAGACGACGACTTCTTCGTGGATATTTTGGATCCTAACGAGTTATCCAGTCATTTGAAGTTTTGGCACAAGCAATTCTCGTCTCGCACGCAGACTTTACTCATATTGGATGACATCGCCTGCGGGGACGACGTAAAAAAGCGCACTTCCGAGCTCGTTAAACTCGCCTTCAGCGGTAGGCATGACAATATCAGCGTTTGGTTGCTCTCGCAGCAGCTTACCAGTGTCTCTAAGCCTTTTAGGGAAAACATAGG